TTAATTCTTTATCAATATATGCACGTGTACGAAAGTTATCATAATTTGAAATAATCTGCAATGCAGAATGGATAGTTCTTCCTCCTACATTTTGAGTGGCAACACCAGTAGGAGCCAGGAGAAGATATTTAGATTTTTTCTGTTTAAGAGTATTTATTAGCAGGTTTATGATATATGATTTACCTGTTCCTGCAGAACCTGTAATAAAATAATATGCTATTTGATACCATTATTTGGGCCAACATATGAAGAGATTGTTGATAAGACATAATATTGATCTTCTGGTAGATCAAGTATAGCAGTTTCAGGTAATACATGAGGAAGCATCTTGATATTTTCCAATTGTAATCTTATAATATCCTGAATTATTGTTGGGAGTTCTTGGTGTAATGATTGTAGCAATCTGTTTAGCATTTCGGCAAATTGATTATTAAGATAAGTAATACGTGAGTGATGGTTATTTGTGGTTTGGATCTGTAAGGTTGTCAAGAAATCAGGAAATAATGACAAAAATTTTTGTCGGTATGTTCCATTAGCTCCTATTCTATAATCAGATTCATCACTTGCTGGTATCGTAAAAAAAAGTTTCTGATAGAAGTATAATTCAGCATCTTGAAATTTAAGAAACGATATCTCACTATTATTTCTTTAGATCGTTTTACAACATAATTATTCAATTGATCATGAAAGATCGATCGATTAGTTAAAGGTCTTGAAGAAGAAATCAAATATCTTTCAAAATATTGAGGATAGGTAAGTGGATCAAATTCAGGAGAGATAGGTTGTGTCATATATTTGGTTATAGTATCATCATAATAAGGGTTTTCATCTTCTTCATGTATTAAATAGATAGGAAGCACTAGACGAGATCTTGTATTAGGAGGTTCAGTAGTAAGGAATTTTACAGTACTTGATTTGATGACCTAAAAGCAAAAACATCAATTCCATAGAGCTGAGTCTTTGTGCGATCACATGTTCTCTTAATGTGTCTCCATCTTGTATGTTAAATACATGAGAGGGTTCTCTTTTAACGATATATTTTATCATATATCGAGCGAATCCTCTATCAGTTATATATTGAATATTTATGTGAGCATCCCATAATAAGAAAATAGCAGGATGATAAGGGACTACCCATGAATCTGCATCAGTCAAACATTTATAAATATAACGGGAGGCACCTTTTTGATAATGAGTTATTTGACTGTAAGGACGTGAAAAACCTTTTTTACACGTTTGACCTTATGGAGCAGGACCTTGACATCTATGATTGCAAGTATGTATTTGATTAGCTATTACAGAAGCATATAATTCAGACTCATATAGAGGATCAGGTATTGTTGAGCGGATGATATCATTTGCAATCATATCTGAAATAGAATTATTAGTCTAATAACAGCTATGAATATGAGCTGCACCCCTATTTTAAAATTTAACTCAATCAAAAAAGTCTGTTATCTTGCCAAATCCTGTAAGTTCAGGTTTTCTATATAATTCCTTTTTTAAAGATTGAAATTTGTGAATAAAATAATTTGCATAATGATAAGGTCTATTTGTTGGTAACGGATCATTGTTATCTGTATTAATGAGTATATTATGAAGATGAGTCCAACGTCCTTTAGCCATGGTCAAGATTATGAATAATGATGGTAGACCAGATTTTTTTAGCATTGCATTAAGGTGAAGTTGTTTGTGATGAAAGTAAGTATCT